AGCACTCTGCAGCACATGCTGCGGGGACACACGTACGGAGTGTTCCCACTGCTGACGGGACAGGTCTTAAGTTGTCCCGGCGCCGCCCTCAACATCTCTGCCGGCAGCGTCCCCTCCATCATGGAGCTCCTCCACTGGCAATTTGGCCTCTTCGGGCCGCACAAATTCAATGCGGCAGTTCAGAGTCAGCCGGTGGCCTCCATTTTGGAGAGCCACCTTGACGGACAAATCAACGTTCGCTTCATTCCGCTGTCCAGAAGCCTGCGCCCGGAGAAGCAAATCAATTATGACTACCTGATAGACGGCAGGGTCCAATATGGATTTGCGGACAAGAACCTGCCCAATCAGGAAATCATGGATTTAGCACAGATGCCTGGTGTAGGAGGGGTAGAATGGCTCTACAACTCCAAGAATCTCCACTTCCGCCCCGACGTCGCGGACATCGTCATCCCGGCACTTGTCACAAGAGCCATTGAGGAAATGCGCAACACCCCAGGACTGCCTGTCCTCGTGGTTGCTGGCTGGAATGCTCGCCAGCAGGACATGCATGTCGAAATGCTTGCTGCCCAGGCTCTGTCACAATGCCGAACTGTCCGAGATCTTTCGGAAGTAGCCATGCAGTACGGACATGGCCCCTGGGGGATGCGCTTCAAGCATCTCCCAGAATGGGAGGCCGCCCCCGTCCCGGCCCTCCTCTTCCAGACCTACGTCCACGACGACAAGCCGGAGCCAGCCCAAGTTGCGGCCAAAATGTTTGCCGGCTTCACCCGAAAATTCTGTGATGATGGTGTCCTTCGGGCTACCCTGCGGCAACTCGCCGGCAAGTACGGCTCCAATCTGCTGGATCGCCTCAGTCAGCCAGCTCATAGAGCAGACGTGTTCCGCTACGTCTACCACTACCAGCACGGCGGCCTCTATGTCGATATCAAATGCGGCTTTGTGGTACCCTGGGAACAGGTACTCAAGCTTCTAGCAGCAGATTGGAGCACAGCTCACTCAACGAAGGCAGGTGAAGTGGGTCACAGACCCTCCCCACCTGGCCAACTCCCAAATGAGTTCATGGTCATGGCCATTGGGGTCAAAGGAGATCACATCTTTCAAGGCATCATCTATGGCAAGCCCAGACACCCTTTGATGAGGGAAGCCATACAGCACGCCTTCAGCCGTCAGGTTATGACAGCGAAGGCGAACTTGGAATACATGACCTTCTGCAAATTTCTCTGGCAGATCTTGGGTCGAGACCTTGGACACTCCCCTCAAGCGGGATGGAATGTTTCCACCAAATTTGGCCCCATCTACCTGTTCTTGGAGCGCTGGGACAAGCGAGTGAAGAACAAAAAGTACGACAATGATGGCCACTACTTCGTGACTACCAACAACACGACAGTCGCCTACACCAGGTGCTGGAAGTGGCTGAAGGGATTTCAGGGAGACCCCACCACCAAAGAACGAACCGATCGCATGCTGCAGAGCCAGCTCCCCGACATCTCCCTGGAAATCCAGTCTGATAGACCCGAAGAGCACAGCTCACCACAGCCACTTAGGTCACAGACCACGGCAACCGCCACATCGGCTCCTCCTCCTCCCACTCAGGAGGATATTGAAACCTATGTGGCCGATAGCATCCAGCACAACTCCTTTGCAGAGATCATGGCCACGGTCCGTGAGACCCACCACTATAACCAAGATCTTACAGAGCAGGACGTGCTGGAGCTCATCCCTCGCGGATTAGGGCAAGTGGAAGTTTCAGGAGACATGTGGTTATGCTGTTTGCACTGCCGGAAGCACAACAGGCAGGTGCAATTCAGTACTAGTCACGGCCTCAAAAACCACTTTGTCACGCAGAAGCATAACCCGTCACCCAGCGCCATGTCGGCACCCCAGACACCTCTTCCTCCCCCTCCCCCAAAGCTCCCACAGGAGATTCCTCTCCCCCCCAGCAGTACCAGGACCAAAGGTACAGACAAAGCAACCGGCTTTGAGCTGCCGCCCTCTCCCCCGTGCCCTTTCACTTCCTCAGCAGCTGAAAAGGCGGCTTTCAAAGCAAGCCAAGCGGAAACACCGAAGGCGGCCCCAGCGCTTCCGGCTAAGGCCCCACCGTCCATGGTGCCCACCCAGTGCCCTCAGCCTCCAATTTCCTCTTCGGCAGCTCCAGCTCCCCCTCCGGCGATCCCTGTTTCCCCGATCCCTCCACACCCTCCCAAGTCCGCTTCTTCCCCAGCCCCTGCCACCCAGGCCGCTCCGCGTTCCCACACGCCCCCTCCTCCTTCTTCCCGCCCCCCGTCAGCATATGAGCCTCCGGAATCCAATGCGGAACTCGTCGGCTATGTCCCACAGCCGGCTCCACAACAGACAGTACGTTACACGCGGCAGGAGCTGGCTCAGCTGCTGAGCTCCCAGTCCCACCAGGACTGGATTCGGGCCTTGGCTTCCATCAACATCCTGGTGGCTCCGGTCATTCTTGGCGGCCTCACCAACCATGAGCAACAGACCCTTTGGTCTACCAGGATGGAAGCACTCCGCGAAGTTCCCCCGCTGTTCTCTGCCATCAAGTCGGTAAGGACGCAAACAGGCCTCACATGGGACACCGCCATGTCGGTGAGGCGGGTCCTCACCAGCGATGGGAAGGTCACTATAGCCACAGGCGCGGGAGACGCCTATCGCGAGCTGGATGCCCCCACAAAGGTGCATGGCCTTATCCATGCCTGCTTCAACAAGATGTGGGACGAAAAGGCCTTTCAGCAGCACTTCCCCTCGTGGGTCGAGTTCAACATGATCGCCACCACCATCGTGGCAGTCTACAATGAGACGGCCAAATCAGCCGGACTCCCAGCTCGTGTCTTTAGGGTCAAACCCGACAAAAATGCCTACTCCATCATGAAGATGCGGATCCAGCACGACAAGGGGCACGAGGAGGACAAGCGCATGGCCAAACTGGCTGCTGCTGCCCCCAACAAGCGCCCACAGATGCAGGAGGCTGATACAGAAGGCAAGCGACAGCGCGATGGCCCCTCCTCATCTTCCTCGACCCAGTGGGCCAGACAGGCACGCTCATCTCAAGAAGACGACTGGGACTGGTGGCAGCAGTGGTCCTGGCACAGTTACTCTCAGCAGTGGCCAAAAGGTCATGACCAGTGAGGGCAGGAATATGTCACAGACTCTTTGATCCCTTATGTCACAGACTCAGGGAATTCGGCACTCTTCCGACGCTTAGCAAATCTCTTCGGAAGCCTGTGAACCGCGTGCTAACCTCGCTTAAAACAGCACTTCGCTCTTCAGCGAGTTGCCCACGTCCAAGCTGCCCAAAGCCTCACTCCACCGGAGTTGTTTTCAGGTACATGCGGTCATGAGCACATGACCCTTACGGCCTTCTGTCTTCAACATGAGTAATCCGTGTGGGACGCCACGAGACGGATACTCCAGGTGTCGGCTTCGCCCGAGGTACGGCCTAATTGTTGAGACAGGTGCACAGATGGACGCGTCTGTTCACACCAAGGTGTCGGAGGAGGAAGCTTTTGTAGCAGTAGTCTGTCAAGTTCGAGCTGATTAGAGAGATCTGAGCGATGCATGCTAGAAGCAGTTTCACGAGTGCACGAGACCAAAGGCGCCCGCAAAGCGCAGAGCACGCTCGCGCAGCGTTCAATTGAAAAATAGTAGTAGTAGTAGTAGTAGTAGTAGTACGCGCGTAGTGCATATTTGAAGCTGCGTTTTCGTACACTTGGCAGACAGAAAACACTGTAATTTGCGATGTATGCAGGACAGGGGGGGTCCTTGTCAGGGGAGCGGGGAAATTTGGATTATGTTGGTTGTCAGCAAGTGAATCAGCTCGGATCTAACTATATGAATTGTGCAAGAACAACAGGAAGTTTTTAACGGGGAGCCCGCACAAGGAGCGCAGTTCTGAGCCATGGCTCGCAAACTCTTCCGTGGGCGCAACAAGGGCAAGCAGCGTCTTCACCTGCGTGTTGCTTGTGGCAACACGGGGCACCGCGAGGCGACGTGTGGCACAGCGGCAGCTCAGTTGATCCGGCAGTTGCGAAGCGAGCTGGCGGATGCACTGCAGACAAAGGATAAAGGTTTAGGTAAAAGTTTAGGGTGAAAGGTTTAGGGTTAAAGTTAAAGGTTGAGCGTAAAACCCGAAACCCCCCCCCCCCCCCCAACCCACCAGCCCCAAGCCCCCCCCAACCCCCCCAAGCCAAGCCAAAGCCAAGCCAAAAATAAGTACTGAATATATATTCCAAGGCCCTCATGGAAACGCAAGGCTCTCATAGGAAATCCAAGGCCTGCATACGAATTCCAAGGCCCTCATACGAATTCCAAGGCCCTCATACGAAATCCAAGGCCTCATCAGCTTGAACCTTCGATACCAGACACACCCACCGTCAACCTTGAAGCCCAAAACCCAAAGACATCCTCGCTCTGAGCCTGAAGCCCAAATCCGAAAGATAGAATTCTCTTAATTGAAGCTTTCCAGAATTCCCCGCTCCCCAGAGAATTAGTGAAATTAGCTTAAAACTCAAGTTTTGGGCATGTGAAGTGAGGAAAAGCATAGCGTCAATTATGCACTACGCTCTTAGTAGTAGTAGTAGTAGTAGTAGTAGTAGTAGTAGTAGTAGTAGTAGTAGTAGTAGTAGTAGTAGTAGTAGTAGTAGTAGTAGTAGTAGTAGTAGTAGTAGTAGTAGTAGTAGTAGTAGTAGTAGTAGTAGTAGTAGTAGTAGTAGTAGTTGTAGTAGTTGTAGTTGTTGTTGTTGTGGTTGTTGTTGTGGCTGTTGTTGTTGTGGCTGTTGTTGTTGTTGTTGTTGTTGTTGTTGTTGTTGTTGTTGTTGTTGTTGTTGTTGTTGTTGTTGTGGTTGTTGTTGTTGTGGTTGTTGTGGTTGTGGTTGTCCTAGTTTCTCAGCCAGCCTCAGGCAGTCACGGCAACCCTCGATGCGACACTAGGCTCAAACAGCCGGTTTTTATTTCGATTTTGGGTCTGCCCTCGTAGAGGGCTGTGCCTCCTCATGGCGTGGACGCGCCCCTTTCCAACAGTCTGGGATGATGCAGGTCGGGAGGTGCTCAACGAGGCTCCGCCCTTTCTGGCTCTCGCTGACTCCACCTTTCAAGGCCTCTTGCGGCAGGGTCAGAAATGGGCCTCCTACGGCTACCCCTCGCTAGGGATGGGCTATTCGGTGGTGTGCCCAGGAGCTTCCCTTGTCCGCTCCTATCCTGGACGTCCCTCCATCCTAGGGGCCCTCGCTCTGGCGGCGGGGGATTCCCTCCAGCCTCGCGACTCCCTGCCGGCTCCGATCTTGGCCAATGAGGGCTTCTTGAATTTCCTCCGAGACAAGCTTGATGAGCCCGTCAAGGTTGGCTTGGTCCCCTGCGGGCGCAGTGTGCCACCCTCCAAGCAGTCTGCTTACGACTATGTGGAAAGGGCACGGCACGACTTCAACCTTAAGGACCATGAGTTCCCCTGGCAGATCATGGACCTCCACCAGCCCCCGGACCTGGACCTTTATGGCAAGGACCTCACGCATTTTCAGCAGTCCGCTGAGCTGCCTGCCATTGGGCGCATTATCGGCCGGGCTCTCTACTGCATGACAGTACCGAGACCACAGCGAGCTGAAGGAGGCAACGCCCCTGACACTCCGCACGGCAACGCCCCCCAAACTCCAGCTACCTCTCCATTTGCGGGTGGCCTGGGACACGGGGATGAGCAGCAGACGCCACACACCCCTCCACCTTTTCTGCCTGTTTTCCTGTGTTGCTCCTGGAACGCGACCCAGGGCATGATACATCAGGAGATGTTAGCCACCCACGCGCTCATTCGAGCTTCCACCCTGAGGGAGTTGCTGATCGTGGCTGCCAGCCAAGCCCACTTTCCCATTGAAAAGACGTACCACCTCACGGTGCCGGCTGGACAAACTCCTTATGGGCAGTTTCCAATTCCGCAGCGCCTCGTCCAAACCTTCATCCATGATGATATGGTTGGCCCCAAAGAAATGGCGGAGGCAAAATTCCGGACCTTTCGTCGCGAGTTCTTCAACGATGAGGCCTGCGCGGAAGTGATTCGTTCAGTCACTGGAGGAGCACAGGGCAACGCCTTCTCTCCAAGCTCAAAAGCAACGCGCATCGCGCTGATGTCTTCAGATACGTTGAGCACTGGCTTAGCGGCGGCATCTACCTGGACATCAAGACGGCTTTCCTGATCACGCCGCAGGAGCTCCACTCCTCCATTGTGGCAGAGTGGAGGCAACAGCCACTCCTCTCCGACCTTGCCTCCCAGGCCTATGGCTGGGATGCCGACGCCTTGCGAGCTAGCGGCCCTCCTGATTATTTTCTCACGGCCATCGGCCAGAAAAAGGATCACATTTTCCAGGGCATCCTCCTGGGACGACGGCAGCACCCCCTTATGACGGCTGCATTACGCCATGCTTTCCAGCACAAGTATGTGGATGCGCAGGGAGCAATCAATGAGAAATATCTCTTTTTCTGCATCGCCCTCTATGAGATCGTACGTCAGGACCTGCTCAATGACCAGGTTCTCCACCCGACAGTGCAAGGCCGCAGCTTGGCCCCTGGCTGGCATCTCACTCAGACCCTGCGCCCGATCTATCTGCTGCAGGAGGTCCATGAAAATGAGTTGCGGAGAATGCAGGGTGTGCCTCCCAATGAGGGACATGGGTTCCGAACAGCCACCGGGCAGCTTATTGCTCTTACTAGGTGCTGGGGTTGGAACAAGGGCTGGAAGGCCGATCCGGCTTCCACCAAAGCCAACAATGATGCCATCCTCCGTGGACTCCCTACTGCACTCCACGCTGCGCAGGAGGGTGGCAACGCCACGGCCCAGCGAGGCAACGCCTCCTCAACTCCGGTACCCACTGAGGCAACCATTCAGGCTCATGTGCTTGAAGCTCTCGACACCAGCCTTCTCGACAGGATTGTGCAGCTCATTGAAAAGTGGCCGCGGTTCTATGGCGAGCTCACCAAGCAGCAGGTCCAGGAGCTCATCCCGCGCGGTCTTGGCATAGCCATTTCAGAAAATGGTGACACCCTGTGCTGTGTCTTCTGCGCGGGCAAATCGGGTGGACCCTGCATGTTCCACACTCTCAAGGTTTATTGCCGCATTTTCTGCGGACACGCGGCAGCGGCGCTACATGGCATCACGCGGGGGAGGAGGCCTACGCCAGAGCTGCTACTCGTCGCCCAGGCCAGGCTGCTGAGACGGCTTCCTCCTCGGATTCTCGTAACCAGAGGCCCAACGAGCCTGCCTCCCCACCGCCATACGTCGCACCGCGACCGGCCATCCTTGATGCACCGCATCGTCATGAAGCTCCTCCTCAAGAGCCAGAAGACACTCCTCCCACAATGGAGAAACTTTGTGGCGAGAAGGACTTGTGTGACTGGGTGGTGGCTGTGGCGGATCTCCAGTCGTTGACGGCTCCAGAGGTCGTGGGTGTTCTTCAGCCCCAGGAGTTCACAGCGATCTGGAACGCCCGACTTCAGGTGCTGACCAAGCTGCCAACCGTGCTTGCTGGCCTCAGCAGGGTCTACCAGAAACCTGAAGCTGATCGCAAGGACCTCAGCTGGCGCTCTGTAATTTCGGGCCGGCTCGTTGTCCACCCCTCCGGCCACCTGACGATGGCCACGAAGGACCGCACCGGCCAAGAGCACATCCACCCCAAGCTCACGACCTGGCTCGGGGGCCTTCAGGCTACCATCAAAAATGGGGTCCCCTACGCTTTTTTTTGGAGGGCAAACGTGTGGCTACCCACCGCATATTTGCGACGACCCTGCAGACCATCTACGAAGCAGCCACCAAGAAGGAACACCAGCCTTCCCATGTCAATATCATCCAGGCCACGCGCGACAGCCACCCCACCATCAAGATCACGCACGGCCAAGTCCTGGACAGCAAGCTGAACGTCATCCGCAATGTCACCGGCCAACAACTTCGTGGTCGCCGCGAACGGCAAGCTGAACATAGGGAGAACAAGGAGTCCAGAAGGTCGGATCCTTATGGCTCCCATGAGCCCTCATCCGGACAACACTCCCGATCTGCCGGCTCCCAGGACTGGCAGGACTGGAATGACTGGGACGAGAACTCCTATGCTGCCAAGAACTCTGCCTACCACGGCTACTACCGCTGAGCCGTCGCATGCATAGGTGGCATGGCACTGTTTCACCTTTTGTGGCTTGTCGGGCAACGCCCCAGCTGATGCCAGGCAACGCCCTGCTGTCGTCATTGCGTGTTGCTGGTAGCAGGCAAACATCAACTTTTCTTTGCTTCAGTCTCAAGTGGCTTAGTCTGCTACACGGGCAACGCCCGCATTGACGTCAGGCAACGCCCTGCCATTACGAACCGAGCGCTTCCCAACGGCACGCTTGGTCATGAGCCAATGAGCATCGCCCGCACTTGCATTGCTAGTCCCTCTGCGCGGGGCATAAATCCTCTGGGAGTCACTCTGCTTTACTTACTATACGTGCAAGGGACTGCCAGACCTTCCATCACCTTCTAGGACTTGTGGCTTCAGCAGCAGGGCTAGCCAGGAGGCTCTTAGCAGCATGCTTCAAACACGAGACTTCCCGCCGGACTTGTACGCCGTGGCCCTTGAGGAGTACCTCTTGTTACAGGGCCATGCATGCTCTGGCTGCTCGTCGGCCGCCTTTATCGCTTCCGACCGAGGCGGGGATGCTCTCCTACAGCGATCTGCTACACCTGGCCACTCAGACCTTTGGGCAGGAACGGATGCAGGAGTTGCTCCGCTACCTTGCACGCCTGCAACCCTGTCTCCCTCGCAGCCTTGATACGCACATGCCCTTCCCCTACGGTGAGCTGGACGCGCGGGCCCCGCGCGCTGAGATCCTGTCATGGCATCTGCTACAAGACGCTCAATCACCGCTCTGGAATGCTGTACGCACAGCGGTTCGAGCTCTGATATGGCGACCAGGTCGCCAGCGCTTCTCTGATGGCAAAGCTAACAATGTCACCTTCGGCGCCTTTGCACGAGGACCTGTCGGACTTTGTGCGGACACAGTTCGGCATGGATCTTTTTGTCGCTTGCTCAACCGTCTGATCGAGCACATCTGCCCGGAACACAAATGGACTACCTTCTCATTGAACTACAACGTTCGTACACCTCCACGTCGAGATCAGTCCAACTCCAAGACGGGCACGTTGTTGCTCAGCCTTTCTCATCACGATGAAGGTTCGGTTTGGGTGGAATCCTGGCATGGCACTGACTACGAGGAAACTGATTTTGGTCTACTGAGTGGCCGCCCATTTAGCTTGGCCTTTCAGGCACTCATTTTCCCAGCTCACAATCATGTTCACTGCACTCGCGGTTGGAGCCTGACAGATCGAGTTACGCTAGCGGCATACTGTATATCTGACCCTTGCCGGCTGCCGAGTGCGCATAAAGCCACTCTCGGTGATCTCGGCTTCCATCTTCCGTAGGGCTGGCAGATCTCTTGTGCCTCTATGTGACGTAGCTCCAGCTTGCCACGCCGGGCATCGCTCGCAGCTCGCACGCAGGCAACGCCTGATTGTCACCAAGCCAATTGCATTCAGTTTTTTCATCGGCCTTCCATGGCACGGAGCTCCAGCTCCAGGGGGTGCCATGACTTTGCCGATGCACTCTGCTCTTATTCAAAAAGAGGAGCTACCTCAGTCAACAGCATTACCGCATTCACGTGCTTGTTCACTGCTCACTATGTGAGAGAGAGCCCAGCTGCCACATTGCGGCAGCTATGCCATGAATTGATCGGGTTGAATACCACATTTCACGAGCTTATGCCAAGGCTAGAGCAGCTTCTACTACCTCCATTGGATGGCCACGGACATTATGCTACTTTTGCGACCTTACGGCCCATCGCCTCTGATTGAGAGTGACCATGAGTGGGACGCCACGTAACAGGCACTCCGAGTGACGGCCCGTTGGGTACGGCTCATCAATCATTGGTTCGTGGACATGGGACGCCATAGTCCACACTGAGGGTGACGGAGGGTGTCTCACCCAACTGAGTGACATGTGATGGCCCCTGAAACAGCTCGTAGCCTGAAGAGTAGCTGACTGCTGACTGCCTGTCTTTAGACTCTAGGCCCAGGCTCTTTTCACTATGCTCTCAGATCTTTGCTCAGGTGCAAAGGCAGTTTCACACGCCCGCAATGAGCAGAGCCCGCTCGCTCAGTGTCTAATAAAATGGTTGTGGTTGTGGTTGTTGTTGTGATCGTGGTTATGGTTGTGGTTGTGGTTGTTGTGGTTCTTTCTTGTGGTTGTGGTTGTTGTTGATGACAAATCGTGATTTCAACGGGGCTTTTGTCTATACCTGCTGGTAGGTATAGAGTGGTAGAGACAAAAACTGCAGCCACATCTGTTGTTTTGACCCCGCCCCTCCCCGGGCTTTGCAGCAACCGCCCTCATTACACCACGTTTCCACCACAGGTGTTGGAACTTGCGAAATGTAGAAGAGTTTCTTTCTGTGGGTTGTGGAAGGGATTTACTGATAATGCTGTCATTGGATTCTGAAAGTCAGCGCTTACAGTGGTCCCTTCTTGCCAAGTTTCTGGGTCTGGCAGCGGCCTCGAAGTCCAACCAACAACAACTGCAACAACAGCCACAACTTTGTTCTCTACGCTGACAGCACTTGTGCATGGGAGCTTTGTTTTGGGGCGAGGCGATCTCCCTAAAGTGCAACCTGGTCATAGTATTGGTTCTCGGAAGCTGTGGGACGCTGGCGCTCCCAAGTGCGTTATATTTTTTTTGATTCTCTTGCTTTTGTATTTGACAACGATCTTTTATTCACGCAATATCTTCTTCCAAGACGAGGGCGCAATCAGTGCAAGGGTCTTTTTTTATTGCCACATTGCGACTGTGCGGCATCCAGGCTCTTTTAGGTGCATTTTGTGACCAGTGGGAAGGGAAAGGCATTGAATTAGCGGGCCTAGTAATACCGTTCGTCGGGTAGGGCTTCTTTGTACTCTAAGGCCTAGTAGTCTCGTGCGTCCCGTGAAGCCGGAATTGCCAGATCTGCGCCTGTGCTCTCATTTTTTCACTGGCTTCAAGCTGTAGCTGCCACGTCGGGTAAAGTCGGACATGCTGTCTACCACCAAGCTGGCCAACCTTGCCCAGTAGTCGCGTTCGCCATGTTGCTGTTGTGTTCGTTTCCTTTTTTTTGAAGCAGCGGTTAGTCCCTGGGCCAAGTTGCAAACCCCTCCCTGGCGAGGTAGCCTTCAAGTCTGGCGGACGAAGCCCGTCGTTTGTAAGTTCTTTGGATTGGGTCCCCAATCCGTGGTCTGCAGCGCTTTCATGCGTGCCTATAAGGCCAATCAGCCATATTCAAGCTGGTTTCTTTTGCTTTTGTTTCGTTTTGTTTGAACTTATTCACGAACAAGCACAGCAGCCGAGCAAAGCCCACAAGTTCTGTGAGTGATGCGCTCAAAGTTGGTCGTTGTTTGCTGCTTGTCACGTGTTTTTCGTACGGTTTTATTGCTTGTCGGTTGTGGGCTGTGGTTGCTGTGGTTGCTTTGGTTTGCTAGTGTTGTTGTTGCTGCTGTTTCCGTTGCTGTCGCTGTCGTATGCCGTCGTTAACTTCATCGTCGTCGTCCATGTCGGTGTCGTCGCCGCCACCATCGTCGTTGTCGCTTGTCGTCGCCGTGGCAGTGGTGTGATTGTTGGTTGTTGCTTGCTGCTTGTTGTGTGTTTTTTTTGTATTTGGTTGTGGGCTGTGGTTGCTGTGGTTGCTGCGGTTGTCGGTTGTTGTCGTCGTTGTCGTCGTGTTGCTGTCGCCGCATCTATGGTGTTTCTGTACGTGTCCTGCACGGAGCTACGTACATATTCCGGCAGTGACAATAGCCGCGTGTGAGTTTGCAGATGGTCTCGCCCGTAGAATTTCTCCGGAAGCTTCCAGAGTTCGATCATGCTCTGAGGAAACAACCCTGTGATCTTCTCCTCCATGAACCTCCTCCATTTCGTGGAGCCAGAGCCTCCACGGCTATGGGAGGAGAATGGCTTTCGGTTTGTGGTTTCAGGTCCAGAGCCAGCGCTGGCTAGGACGAACGATGTCAGGGCCAGGGTCGTCCGGGTTTTTGTTCTCCAGGGCGATGGAACTGAAGATGTCCAGGGTATGAGCCGAGTCACCTTCAATAAAGAATCGGCTAAGAGTCTACTCGGCTTGATGGAGGTGGCCCTTCTAGCCGCATAGAGCACGGAGGACAATCCTAACTTGTTCGGTCCAATCCTTAGAAAAGAAAACCGCGCAGTTGGGTTTCGCTTGCAAACTCGACTCCGGTGTGATCATGGCTCGTCTTATTCGGCCCAAGCCTAAGGCTCTGGGTTTTGTGTCGGCTTGGGAGGCCTTGGTGTCGTTGGCCAACCCCAAAAAAGGCAACTCCGGAACGGAACTGTGTTGTCTCCGTTTCTGTCGGATCAGCCCCAAATCAAAACATGGTACCTGCTACCTGCTCGTTTGGTGCCCTTGTATCTCAATGCAACTCTTCCAATACAAAACCAACTCCTTGTGCGTGGTATTTGTGGGGCCACCCAGACTTCATTTTCTTCATCCAATGCTTTCTTAGCTTCTGCTGTCACTGTGCTGTACACCATATGCCGAGGATCACGTGTGCTCAGGGTGGCTTATGTTCAGAACCATCCCATCCATGTCGGGCCAAAACAAAAACATAGCCCCCGTGTAAAGTGGGATCTTCAAGGTGACATGCGCTTGCATACAAAGTCCGAGGTTCTACACTTCAAACCTCCAGGCCATTACAGTAACTTGATGTTCAATCAATCAGAACTGACTAGCCCTTCTCAGGTCTGGTGCTCTTGCGAAACATATAGACATGGCCCACTCCTCGACCCGGTGTGAAGGTTGGAGTTTGCATCCGGAGTGTGTTCAGCTTTTCTGGGTCTTGAGATTTCAAGCCCACAGCCCCGTTTCTATTTCTGACGATTGCGCACGGAACCCCCAACCGAACGCAGTGGAGCGCCGACTGCAATCCTCCTGCAGCACCTTCGTGCAGAGATGTGCGCCTTTAAGCTAACGTAGTACCGAGTAAGCTCTTGAAAGGCTGAGGCCCTTCCTGACAGGGTTCACCGGGTCCTGTTGGGGTACCCTGCGGAACGGCTGGACTGTTGAGCCAGCGTGAGAGGCTCCTTCGGGTGGGTGAGAGTTCGGGATGATTGTCGATCGAGAAAAGTAAACCTCGAGGACCAGAGACTGCACAGTTTCGGCATCAGGCTGCGCCGAGGGTTGCAGGATGTTGAAGGTCTCGAGATTTGTAGTTGGAGGCTGTCGGTGGACCAAGTTGAGGGTTGAAGGATTTGTAGTCTTTGTTGCTCCCTGTGTCTTGTCATCAAAGAAGACGTCTTTAAGCATAGCTTTCCTTGGTTGAGTTTGGCCCTTGTGTTTGCGACTTTCTGTTGAACTGTTGCATTCCTCGTAGGCAGCTCCTGAAGCAGCTCCTAGCTTCTTGAAGTGAGGATAGCCTTCCTGTGCTCAGGTCTCCAAGGATTTGGGTGAGAGGCTTCGCGGCGCATGCAGAGTTCCGGGAGTTATGGCACGGCTTTCTTACCGCGGTTTGACGACAGCTCGTCCTTCGCGAGATCGAGCGTTGTAGCCCTTGCTTGGAGACTTGTTGATGCTTTCGGATTGCTGACTGTTGATCACTGTCTGCTTGGCCAATGGAATGAAGCAGTTCCAGCGCGCTTTCTAGTAAGTGGTCTTCTTGTGCCGTCCACGAATACGACGACCAATGCTACCACCACTGCTGCAGCTACTACTGACACCGGCAACTGGTGCTGCTACTGCTACTGCTGCTTCTACTGCCGTTGCTGCTACGACTGCTACGGCCACCGCTGCTCCTGCTGCTCCTACTTGGAATGGCCTGGGCTTCTCGCACATGACGAGCATGGAACCTGCCGGCATCGCAGAGAGAGCACAACTTTCCACTAGTCGCCCTGGTGGAAGGTACCGGACCTTGAAATAGGACTGTACGATGCCGTGTAGTCCAGCAGCCCTCTTCCTTAAAGACACACAGTCGTACTTAGATGGCGGCCTTGTTAAGACTAGTTCGCCTCTAACATCAGTAGTCTTTGATCATTGCTCGTGTCGTTGCTTCTTAATCGTACGATCGGAAGCTTCGGAGTGCCACTAGCCTTGCTTGGAGGTGTAAGTTTATCTGCAAGAAGCTCCGGGACGTGGGTTTGGAGGCCAGCATGAGCGAGTGGTACAATTATCGGTGCATTCTAAGCCGAGTTCGGTGGTGGTCTGGGATTGAGGAAGCGGGGCGTTATAGTTTGCTGGGCGACAGGGCTCATCCCCTTAACACCTAGAGCATCATCCCTAAAGGCTCACGAGTCCACTGCAAACTTGCTTTCCAAATAACACCGAGAGCCGCACTGAATCGTCTGAGCTTGGATTTGCTGGCTCACTGCCAGCCCTGAAGCTGAGACGCAG